TTTGAGATGACATGATGCTATAAAGATATCGGGTATAAATGCAAAATGGGAAATCCTACATCATTTACAGTAAGGTTCAAAATGTGAACACAAAAATTGGGATATCCAACCAAATGCAAAATGGGAAATCCTACATCATTTACAGTAAGGTTCAAAATGTGAACACAAAAATTGGGATATCCAACCAATAAAAAATTATTACATTATTGAGAAATTAATTTACAATATTTTATAATAATATAACACCAGTATATCATATTGATTCGAAATGTTGTCACACAATTACATGTGTTTCCATGCATAGTTTGGCATATTAAAACATGAACTTAACCAAAGGACTTAGTAAATGATAGGACATTATCTGGGGGAAGACATATTTTCACTGCAAGATTTCAAGATTACACACTGAAAACTATTGCTACAGAAAGTAATCAGGAAGTTCATTATAGAATATATATAACAGCATATGCACCCACCCACATAAATAACAAGTTTATCTTATAACAAGAACAAAATAACACAGTATGGAGTAGTAGCAGAGAAATTGTTATTTTAGGATTGCAGACAATGCATTAGTACAAAGTGGTTATGATTCATGAATGAAAATCAGATCTTATTGATTGACTTCAAAACAAACAAGGACTGGACAAAGTATATAATATCGTGTACACAAATGCTACAGTCCCCATAAATAGTGTTTAATAATTGGCAAAAAATACTGAAAGCAAATTGAAACATAATTCTGTATCTTGGAAAAATGTAATCTCAAACAAATACAATTTAGTATGTTGCACGTTATTAGAAGAAAAAAATAAATATTTGGAATTTGTGTACACAAGTTGAAGTCAGTGGCATTAATTTGAACAGTAGCACAAATAGAGCTATTAGGTTATTAAACGACGCTTCCGTAGTATGTGCACTGAGATGGCGTACAACCTGATAACCCTAACCTGGTACACATACTATGTTCAGGCTGTGTGCCATCTTGGTGCACATGCTGGGACGGGAGCACCTATTAAACATATAAAGGTATTCAATCTCAGCGATTGTGTGATCTCAGTGATTTTAGGTAGGGTTAGGAACTGAATTTTATGAGAACGTCTTCAAGACACGAAAATGGAAATCACAAAAGTAAGTGAGATTGCATACTAGTAGCAAGTCGAAATGATAAAATATTTGTGGAAGTAAAGGATCAGACCAGGAGAATGCACTCTTTCAAATGTTTGTGTAAATAAAATGATAACTATAGGGCTGACTATGTGCTATTAGGTGAAATCTATGAAAAAGTTGATCTGTCATAAAAATGTTTAGATTAGCTGGATGGATAACCTTGGATGCAACAATGGGAATACAGTTTGCATAAAAAACAGTAGCAATAAATAAACTATAAAACAAGATTAAAAATGAGAGTGATTTTTATGATTGATCCAAGGTACATTAACAAAAATAGGAAAATTATTTTAATAGAAGCAATTATGGCAAATAAACAACTCTTACTAACATATGGATTAGCAAACATACACTAAAGTTTAATGTTTTATATGTCCTTTACAAATAACAAGTATCTAATTTCTCATTTAACATTTGCCTTATAAGCTAAAATGCTGAATAAATATTAAATTTTACTAGATTAGAATGGTTCCTTTATGAAATTTGAATATAATCATATTCCACGAACTTGTGAAATACTACACGAAGCTATTGTGCTAGAAAGTATCTTCAATACATTTTTGTACCAGGGTAAAGTTAACTATGACAAAATAGGAACCTCCGTCTGCTGAACGATTATTATCACTTTTTAATGAGTTGTCCGAAGCAATGATCAGCAATGATACCAAATCTAAACTGAAACGTAAGTTTCAGCACTTCAAAAATCCATAAACATTCTCAAGTTTCAGAATATTTGCAGATTGAACCAATACACAGTAGAGTATGTGAGCCGGTCATCAACTTCGAAACACAGTTTTGAAGTATAGAGATAGTTTTGGAGATAAAACTATATCAATTCCTATGTCACAATTCATTTGTGGGCATGTAGTGGACCTATGGATCGTTTTGTTATTATGTTGTTGTTCTTTGACACATATTGAAAAACTGCTTTTCTTGTTGATTACTGGACGAATTGCTTTGAAATTTTCAATGGTTTAAGATTGATTTGCCTGAAGGCTATTACTTTCATATATTTCCAATATTTCTGAGAGCTGCATGGAATTCATTTCTTTTGTGCTATGACCTCATCAAAAATTGCCACCATGTGGCGGTTCATCGTGCGCAGCGAGTCACGAGGTCAGCGAACATTGGTGCTTCTAGTGTTTAGCGAACCGTCAAAGGTAAGCTGGACTACTGCTTCGCTCAGGCTGCGTGTCCATATATTTGAGCATCGCTCTCTTGTTGAAAGTGCAAACTATAAAGTTCTTGATCCCCTTTCTGGCACAAATAGACTCACTTCAGTCATTGCAGCAATATCCCTAAATACTAGATAACCTTAATCTTCATATCTGAAATTATATCAAAATACTTGACAGAGTTTCAAGTAGTCATTATAGACTTAATGTCATTTACGATGAAATTTTATAATGGAATTGGAAGTTCGGGGCTTTTACTACAGTTAATTAACATGACATGTGTCTCGCTCGAATTAACGATAGGATCTACATATCTATCCCAGGAGAGAGATAATGGACCAGATGGTGGAGGAAGCTGTAACCGACCAGCGGTTATGTGAACTACCCAACTGCGACGAGGAGTCCAGTAATCCTCTCGCACATAACCATGGGGTGACGAGCGTATCCCTAACGATCTCCACATTTAAACCTGCGAACCTACACAGACTGACATAGTGTAATTAATAAGAGGTGCGATGCCAAGCTTATTCCGTTTACAGGCTTAGCACGATGAGCCACACCACTGCTAATTTGAAGTTAGACAATTCAGCAATTAAATGGTTCCATTACATTTGAACCCACGTACATTTGAACCCATGGCAATTGCCCCTGTATGCTATGTACGGTCACCCCAAGCTTATTCCGCTTAAAGGCTTAGCACGATGAGCCACACCACTGCTAATTTGAAGTTAGACAATTCAGCAATTAAATATATCAAATAGTTAGAATGCATATTAACTTTTTGCTTAGGTCTGCGGAGTTCACTCAAACAGTCAAACGGCTTTAGCAGTTTCACTTTTTAGTTTATCGCTTGCTCCACACAATGCTGCAATGTTACTGGTACCAGTCCCAATTTGACATACCGTGTTCGTGCCTACATCTTGCCACACAATAATTCCACCGCGAAGGCATACCGGTACCGGTATCTGGTACGGTACCGGTACCGTACTGTCCTTGTAATTACCACCAAAACAACTGCCAGAGTAGCCTAATTTAGACCAGAAGAATGTTGAATCTCTTATTTTCTGTCTACTGCCATTCTCTACGCTGCCTATGCCGTCAGGGACTGGATTAGCCTTGGCAGATTAATGCTGTAATGGGGCACATACCGTATCGGTACCGGTACTCACTACGGTACCGGTATGTGGTACCTATTACCGTACCGTATCCTGGCATATGCAGATAGATTCAGGCTACATGCTAAACTTAAGAACCTTAAAACGTTCGTACGGTACCGGTACGGTAACACTGACACCATGCCCTTCACTTTTTTCAAAGTCGCCATCCCTAATCTGCCACCACAATTCGACCGCATTTTGCCATCCCTAATCTGCCACTACGCTTCGACCGCATTTTGCCATCCCTAATCTGCCACCACGCTTCGACCGCATTTTGCCATCCCTAATCTGCCACCATTCGACCGCATTTAGCCATCCCTAATCTGCCACGCTTCGACCGCATTTCGCCATCCCCAATTTGACTTTTCGACCCTATTTTGCCATCCCTAATCTGTCACCTTTCGACCGTATTTTGCCATCCCTATTCTGCCATCCCCAATATGACTTTTATGCTACCCTTTTTGCAAGGAAAATTAAGAGCTTTAAAAAGTTTATTTTAGCTGTTTTTGTGGAAATATATATATGACTGGAATTCAATATCAGCTGTTCCTTTCGTCCTCTTGAGATTATACAAAGGTGGTCGCTAGAAACACAGAAAACAGCTACCGTATCAATTTTTACAATGACAAATAAAAGATTGATTGATTGATTGATACAAGAATAACGTTTACAAAGTTTTTTTTAAAGGCATAAGTTATATTGCACTCATAGATGCTCGAAATTTCCATCCGTGCACATCAGAGCAGTGTTATAAGTTATAACTTAGAAGTCCAAGCTCATGGAGCGTTTTGAAGGTTAACTTATGGGATATCGTTCCAATTCAACCTCCACCTATACGCATTTTATCCGTGATCTCATCTGACTTTCAAATTTTCTGCTTCTCTTGGAACCACCCTCTAGTTTGGCGATAGAGAGCTGCTGAGAAGTCTAGTCAAAGCTTTTGTTGTATTGCTGAAAGCAAACGGTTCCCAGTTTGGCCAAGGCGGTCGATTTGTCTGTCTGTCGGCTATTTCCGTAGGAATTATTACTGTATTAGATTGCGACGGTTTAGAATTCATTCCAGCATGGTATGATAACAGAATAAGGTCAAGTTTATTTCGACTCCATAATCAGCATAACTGGTCATAAAATAATTGATAAAAACAAATAAATGAAAACTAATTGTGAAATAAGGGGAGCAGACAAAACCATTAGCATGAAAGTATCCATTCCATTGGTTTTCGTGCTTGTCCGAAGGCGGAAAGGTAGGTAGGTATACAGGTATGAGGTATTGATAGAGTTGTGGCCACTGACATGCTTCAGTAGCTAAGTAGTGTGAGCTAGCATTATACTGTTATGTGACCTCACAGGCAGACAGGCAATATCAAAAGTGCAAGATGCCAAAATGTAAGTAACGTTAGTCTACTACTGTCAACTGTACTACTTGATACCAGTCTTCAACAGATTCTGAGAATTGCAAATGAATGCTAAAAATACTAAATTTTCAACGCATATCTTTCCTAGATCATATTTTAGTGTTCCTAATGTTTTAAGGTATAAAATGGTCTGCCATAAGATACATTAATAATAAACATTAATAATCCAAATATGAATTTCGGTATGGATGGAAATGTCATTTCACCGTCATCTTGTTCCTCTTCGTCATCATCAACTGCGTCTTCTTCTCCTGTTATGATACGAGGAGATGGATTACCACCATATGGATCTAACGCTATGAACGCTTCTGCGCGATTACCTACCGATGACGAATTGAGATTTGAGGGTGTAGAAATCCTAATACAAAGGTTACGAGCCTGTGAATCTGAACATAAAAAACTTCTATCAGATCGTGGTCGGGTTATGAAAGACGTAAATCGGCGATTACAGGTTCATCTTTTAGAAGTTCGTAGTTTAAGAGACATTAATCAAAAACTTCAGCAAGAAAAAGAAAGATTAACTACAGAAAAAGATGAACTAGGTGGAATGTGTTGCTTCCTTGATGATGATCGAGACAAAGCAAAGAAAATGGCCAGAGAATGGCAAGTTTTCGGACGTTACGCAACTGGAGTTTTACAAAAAGAACTTTCTCAATGTCACGGTAAAATCAGGGATTTAGAACAAAAACAACAAACATTATTATCTGAGAATCGAAATCTTAAAGAATTATGTTTGCTTCTCGATCAAGAACAAGCCGGAAGCAGGACTTCTATTGATAGTCAGAGTAGTTTTCACGGACCTGTGCCTGGATTACTTGGTGTCGCTGGCACAAGGGATTCTGGCGATGGAAGTAGTAATGGTTCAACTGCAAGTAATTCAAGTCCTGATCACAGGTTACCAACAAATATTCTCCAGAGAGAGACTAATTTAGGTAAACTATTTATGATATAAGTGATTAATTATCATATTTCAAAAACATTTGATTTATGAGTATAGTGATATCAAAACGAATTTATCATACTTGTTTCACGTCAAAATCAAAAATAACTTGTCTTGAATGGAATTTACAAAATATTCTGAAGCCAAGCTCTGCAAAGATATTTTTTCATTTAAGGATGTCCAAATTTAAACACATTTTTGAATCAATTCAAAAAAAATTTATATCAAATTCTCAATTTTAGGAATAATTGTCAATAGTTTCACAGCATGGCCTTTAGTTAATTTTTGAAAACCTGAAAAAGCCATTGTCACTTTGTCTGCAACTTTCCTGCGTTACCAAAACAAACTCAATAAATATACATCAACCTTGCATGTGTTCTTTGGTGATCCTGACCCAAATCAGAATATTCATTATTCAGAATAGAAGGCTATTTGGTTTTGGCATTCATCTGTTTCAAATCATTCTTTTATTTTAGTCCAGTTGGGCAACCTTGAGTCTACTTGTTAATCACCTATTTTGAAGTGAAATTTGATTTAAGAAACCTGTTACGTTTTTTGATTCATTGAATTTTTAAGAAACTTTGTCAAATAGAATAATGAATAGTAAATATCTTAGCAGTATGTTCTTATTGATATGCACAATTCTGGTTGGTACTTACTTTTATGTTACTCATTTGTTCTATATTATCTCACTACAGAGGGCAAAGAAAGTTATGTTCGTTATTTGGAAAACAAGGTACGACATTTAGAAGATGAAGTTAAAGGAAGATTAAAAAAGGTGAGTGGACAACATACTGTTTTTTTCACAATTTTTTAATTTTATTTTCTATTTTGTCACATTGCCATCAACTGCGTACTTTAAATTTCATTGAGATTTCATTGCAGTAACATTTTAGGTATTAACTATAATATTAGTGACATTTTCTCATATAAAATGATTGTTTAACTCATTCTAGAGATACTTTGTCATATGTAGAGTTCAAGTAGAATTTATTGTATGGCATATATAGAGACAAATACTGTAATTTGCTGTCACAAGCATTGTAGAGCATTATTCATATAAACCTTATGTGCGAGATATTTAGATGCATTTTATGTGGATAACACCAAGATTTGAATGTTCTAAAATAAGAAATTTTGATTTCAATGCTACTTGAATATGAAAGTAATTAACCAACAATTCAAACAGTAATTAGGCCAGTGAAACAGTTAAGTCATGACATAGAGTGCATGAAATATTCTGGTAACATTTAAATTAATACTATCAGGCACCACCCACTGTATCTAACCATCCTCACGGAATCTTCAACAATATGTCTCCTGGTAAAGTACCGTTAGAAAGAAGAATGAATCCTCAATCTGCCTCACCTATAATACATTCGCATTCATCTTCAAACATATCACCTGCTCATTCTGCATTATCTCATTTATCAAATTCTTCATCATCTCTCAGCGGAGGCGGGAGTACATTAATGGTAAATTTACTTGCATTTTTTAATACTCTCGCTGTTCTAAATTTTTCGTTTCTGATATCTTGCTTGTAATTATGAATTGAAAAGTTTGAAAAATAATGTAGTTGTTGTATCAGTGTAATATTGGTATTGATTTTTCCATACTACCTGTCAGACTCTCTTTAGTATGAGAAAGGCGAATTCTAGTTCTCGGAAGTAGTTTGGTATATCTTCTGTGTCCAAAATATTTTTTTTTTCTATATGCTTCTCCCCCCCCCCCCCCCAGGATAAATCTGTAAACCCTATCTTTATACCATTTTTCTTGTGCTCATTTAGAGTTATTAATTTTCCACTCTGATTTGTGCTTTTGTAAAACTAAATTTCTAAATAATTTTTACCATATTTAGACAATTCCCTCTTGATTTATTATATTAACTATTTTTCTCACATTTGGAGTATGGTTAGAGGTGGTAATTTGGCTTCTCACTCATGATATGGGCCAGTATTTTGTCTTAAATTCCAAGATTCGTTGGAAATTTAGTGTCTATTTAGTTGCATACTTAGCGAGTTCAGTTGCATGGTCTTTGTTAGGGTTTGGCGTTATCAAATGACAGTATCTGATTTGGAATAGTTTATGAATTACTCACCACAGTTCCTATTAAATTGCGTACAATTCTGACACAGGCCTTGTATAATGTTCTCTGTATCTGTTATCAGTGTATGTTTGACATATTCTGAGAATATTACATTGACGGCTTCTGTGGTTTGTTATTTCGCTTGTTTTATTGCGATATCAAATGTTGGTTTTGCTATTTCAGACTTGACTAAATGTTTGTTCAATAACAATAGCTAAGCTAAATCTATGTGTAAATTGTAGGTATATTTTTAGCACTCGAGTGTTAGATTGCAGGTAAATTTCTATTGAGCCTGAAGGGAACTCAATTTCCTAGATTTTCTCATGTTTTTACAAGATATCCATTTTGTACTGATAAGACCGGATATTGAGTTTCTTATCCTGTTCTGCTCCACTTGAGAAAGACTTAAATCGCATTGTATGGTAACTATAGTACCGTATATATCCAAATCTTATTCTATACAGCAGCCTTCGCTATACAATGGCTTTACTTATTTTTCTTACACGTAAGCAATCATGATCAAGAAAATAAGACTTTGATGATTTGCAATACACAAATAAATCTTTAAATATCATTGACCACACATCATGCACCAGATTTATTGAGACTCATTAAGAGTTATTGCTGCTTTACCTAGGGATGGGCAATGTAGAATAATTTACTATTCTAGAATATTCTAGAATAGTTAAATCGAATCCAGAATACCGAATCCTATTCTATTTTCGTACTTATTCAAATAGTGGGAATTTCTACATTGCTGGATTTAGATGGTAAAAAATTGCAAAGGTATTACTCACTATAAATGTATTATCTATTTGGAAATGTCCTGAACATTGGATTTCATTTGATACTAAACAGGCAGTTCCCAGGACAATAAAATTTAGGAATATTACAATATTTTTTGCCTTCAATTGTTCCAAAGGTATGTAATCCCTAAATACTAATAAATACTGATATGCTAAATTAAGACACGCTTTACACACTCTAATAGTAAGCGGTTAAATACAAAATAGACATGAAACGGCGGTATTAAATCATTATTAATGTAAGTCTGCCGAGTATACTAAAACAAACCCGCTGAGAACCAGCGTGTGGCCACTGCAACCTATGCGCCGTTGTAAAATATTAAATTTAACCACTATCAATTAAAATCAACCTTTTATTCTGTGAGAGCAACGCGTAAAACCAAGTTCCCGTAAACGCGATTTCGTACTTAGTTATTAGGTAATAACATCCGAAGACGAACTCATTTTTCTATGGTTATCGTTACATATCATTATCTATCCAGACTTGGCCTTACTCAAATCCAATACGTCACAATCTTTGCCAGATACGGCAACCTTTTTCAAAATTCATCGGCGACTAAAATACTACAGACACTCGATCAAACGTGCATCTATCTTGAACGATAGAAACGGACCGAAAAATATGTAATCTTTTGAGAGTGAAATTTAAATGTGAGAGTTGTTCGCGTTTTGCGATATAACTTTGTATTTCGGAAAATGGTATAATAAAATTATTCGTAAATAATATTTGATCTAAATTAATGGCGAGTAATGTTATAACATTTAACGCCTGGCTTTTGGTTTACGTGCATCATTTTTTTGGGAAAACCTGCAGGTCGCGAAAAATCATTTAATTTAAAATGAGGCAAGGCACGTCGGTAAACAATTAAAGATTGTTGCATTCAGATTATCGGAATATCACCAATAAGTCGGCACAAATAACGCTAGCTGGATAGCAAAGAAGGAAAACGCAAAAATGGTGCAATAACGAGTCCTCGCCGTGAGGTTATATTACCGACTTCTTGTCCTGAATATGCCGATTGAAATTACAGTGTTTGATGTTTACTGATTTACGGGTTCTTTGCGAGCAGACGCAAGTTTAATTAAACGAGAGAGATTTTCACGCGAGAAAAACGCTCGTCTATAATTGATAAATTAGAAACCCGAAATACAAAAATTGACGCTTGGCGCCAGAGAGGCGGAAACCGAATCCTGTTATCGGATCCCGTTGGATTCGAATACTTTGGGATTCGAATCCTCCGGATTCGGTATTCTATATTGCCCATCCCTAGCTTTACCTCAAAAGGACCAAACTTGAACTAAGCTGTTTTGAGGAACTGAGAAAAACCAATACCGGTATTTTTAATTTTCAAATCCCGACTTTTTATCAAGATACTTAGGTGAATATCACCTCAAACCTTGATATAAGTAAACCAGCTTATAAAGCATATATTTCTTTTATATATTTCAATTAAACTTTTTCAAAATTTCAACACTTGCTTTTTTGTCTTGATGAAACCCTTGTGTTATAGTCATTAATTCTAAAACTAAGTTTTTCTTTTAGTTTTCCAAAGTTATAACAAAATTTTTGCATGTTTTCCCTCTACATTCTTGTATTTTGTCCCAACATTATGATTTACGGTATTTCATAAAGTACCGGTATTCATGAATTCACTTATATCTTGCTAAGCCGCCTTTTAAATAAAGCCTTATTGCTTGACAATCTTTCATCTAATAAGTTTAGAGATTCTCAGTCAATATTTACTTGGTTGTTATTCATATATTGACATTCCAGAAAATAAGAGCAGGCATTTCTAATGTTTACTCTGTTCTCTAATGCCCACTTCACAGTTTAAAAACGTTCAATTGTTTTTTATTTATATCTTATACCATTTGGAATATATTGGTATGGAATTTTGTTTGATAATGACCTATAACGTTTTGATCTTTCCAGCAGCTTCAAGCGAAGTCTCCATTTTAATCCATCTCCTCTATTTATCTGTCTTAGATACTTGTGGTTTTATATTTCTCTTTAAATACTGGTATTTTTTTTTTCTCAAGTATTTTGCATACTGCGTATTGACATTGAATTGTGCTGGCCTGGTAATCCCCTTCTATGTTATTGTAATGGCCATTATGGAATTATTAAACTTTGATGGTAAATTGAAAATTGATGTCATCATCAGTGTGGTTATGTAGTTATTTTCAGAAAATATAGGTTTTGAAGCTATCAGGCTTTTCTAAATTTAGGAATAATCGGTAAGGAAAAATTGGTGTCAACTGTATGATAGTTGCAACTAGATATTCAAGTTAAGTCCTAAATATTGGCGATTAACTTTTAATGAATAATTATGACATTTTAGATATATTTTTGATTTGTTGTAGGAGGATATTATGTTGAATTACGGTACTCCTGCATAAGGATTATTAGAAGACATGTCAGTGCAATGTTGAATTATTTTTCTTGCTAATTTGAAACAAATAGAGATTTGCTCAATTCAGGTTGAGTGCTGATAAAACTGTGCATGTTGGTGTTTTTCATCACAAAGGTTCTAAGTAGAACCAAATGACACTACGTTCTGTGTCATGTAATTCTATTCGCCGAGCCTTTTGTTAGTTGTGTAGGGTAATTTGACTCAATGGTCGGGATTAAACCTCATTTGCGACCAATTTGTAAAGATTGAAATTTGACCGGAGTTCGACACGCTCCTCGCTTTTATTTTGCTTTAGTTTATTTCGTCTCACACAACCATTTGCGAGACCATGTAAAAGTATCCTGTAAACAAGCATGGCTCGTACTATCAACCTATTTATTTTGTACGATCATGCAAGATATATCGTTCTTGGTATTCAAGTGTATATTCCTACCTAGACAAATGTTCACCGAAATACTGGTTACGTCAGCACTGATAATGAACTTAAATTAAAGTTTGGAATTTTGCAGACGGTTTGTCAATGTCAACTCCTTTCTATGAAATAGGAGTTCATATACCATTGTGGGTTATTTGCCGTTTCAAACGTTATATTGCATTCTTTCCATAGTTTCAGAAATTTGGCCTTGTATTGCGTTGTCTTGTATTTTCCAATGCCTCTTATGTTATGATTGAACACCACGTTTTCCAACGGGGAAATGTTGTCATCCTTGTCAAGAATTTTGCATTAGTAATTTTCTTTAAGTTTTTTTGATATTATAATGATATATATTCATGCACACACACACACACATTATGAACCGTTTAAACAGTAAAACAGTGGGAGTGCGACTTGCTTACATATTTGACAGTACCTGATTCTATATTCGCACACTTGGGAGCTGAATATTGCAACCCCGAATTTTTGATGCAATTTCAATATTATAATTTAACTATCAGTTGAGGTTACGTAAGACTAACTACCTTTCCTTGCTCTATGCCTTTGTGGAAGTGGATCCATATGTGTGTAACGCAAGGTAATGTGGCAAGATGGGGCATAATTCTGCTAATAATATTATTCTTCACCCAATTTTGCGTATCCTTGCCGCTTGTGTCGGGTGGTCTTCCCGTCTAGCATAATTCTCACAGCCGATTGTTAAAAAAATAGTTACCCGATCCTAACAATTTCCCTA